CTCTCTCTCTCTCTCTCTCTCTCTCTCTCTCTCTCTCTCTCTCTCTCTCTCTCTCTCTCTCTCTCTCTCTCTCTCTCTCTCTCGGTTCTCTAGCAAGATTTGTTAGAGTACCAGGAGGTAACTGGGGGGCTTCGCTCCTCAGGATTTACCCCGGCCTGCACGAGTACCTGGTATAGCTCAGTTAGGATAATGATTTTTCCAGTTTATTTGTAGCGGAACGGCTCTTGGTTCAACAAGAAGTTTTTTATCCTTGAAAAACAGGGAGAAGATCACGCGAATGGTTTTTAGCACTGTTCTCTATTAAAAAGAATTAGAAATTAAAAATTTGAATTTAAAAATGGAACGGCTAGTACCGTTTCTGTGATAAATTTTTGAACCGGCCACGAGGCCGAAGGTCAGATTAGGAACGTGCCTGCTCGTCGGTAGTCGAAGGGTACAGGACGAATGTGCTTCTGTCGCTGTTGAGGTAGTCGGGAGTCTACCGGTTCAGTCGGCTGTTGATACGGGTTATGTTGACAGAGCTTATACTTGGCTATGGTGGGAGGTAGGAACACCGAAAGGCGATGTCGATAGAGTAACCGGTACGGGTTGTACGAAGTTGACTCCAGATTTTGAAACGCGGGAAGGTGGATTTATGCGAAATATGTACTAAGGAGGTAAGGCTGCTTTCCCTATTGTTTGTTGGTTCTGAGACTACAGTCGAAGAGTGGAGAAGGATGATGCATTCAGGGTACGGTATGCGCAACATGGGTAATCCCCAACTCGGGTGGATCGATGTGGATGGTAATCAAGAGAATATGGAAGGAGATGAAGAGATGGGGATAGGCTATACTCGGATGCTATGCCAAGGCTGGATGGCGGGAAGGACGAGGAGAAAAAAAAAAAAAGAAAAAAAAAAAAAAGAAAAAACGATAGTGAGGTAGAGGGGATGTTCCCTATCGACTTGAGTTTCGTTGGCAGCACTATGGGAACGAGCAAGTGTGGTAGTACGGTGGGTAGAATATTTGAAGGAAGAGAGGGATGGCCTTAACCCTCTCACCAAGCTGAGTTGTTTGTTCAGGATGCTTCTGTTCTCCCTGATGAGTCTGTGGTGTGCGCCCACAGCGAAACGCGTCGGAGATCGCGTGCAAGGGCTATGACGTTTATCTGATGTTTTTACAGTTGTATCTTGAAGCTTTTGTCTGGTATTTGATTATACTGTGCATGATCTTCCAGCACGAAGGACAGTTTGGCCGCTGTTTCTCCTCATTACTCGGTGATCGTAGTAACCTGCTTTACTGTGTCGAAGACTTGGTGGCTACATCGAAGTGTTGGTACGTGATGGTACGTGATGGTACGTGATGGTACATGTATTTACGGATGATGAGAGCTGGTTGGAATGTGGGTTCGATGATATATTACGTACGATGACGTGAGGGTGGTACGGCGAGGACAGGGAGTAGGGTTACGTTGGATTAAGCATGTCGAAAGTGATTGGTGAGTGATTGAATAAAGGGAAGAGCTGTAGGTGTTTAAGTGCGTCCAGGCTTTGTAATCATTTGCCTCATCGGGTTATTTTTTATTTATTTATTCTCTATTTGCTCTATATTTTCTTCTCTCTCTTCCTCCCCTCGCTCTCTCTTCCTCCCCTCGCTCTCTCTCCTTCCCTCTCACTCTCTCTGGCCGTTTCTTGATCTTCGCTACGGGCTATTGGATGTATCCCGATCTCTGTGTGTCACCGTGTCGTATTCGACGGTTTGAGATATCGTTGATGGGTGTATTAAGGGTTTATGTGGATGCGTTACGGCTTGTGTAGCATGACAGGGCGTTTTTTTCCGTTTTTCAGAATAAGAATTAATAAAAAATCGTGTGTTCTAGAAGCGGTAGAAACACATAGTGCTGACTATGGGAGCTCGGAAGTATAGGGATTTCTTGGTTATTCTCGGTGTTGGTCTTGTGATCTCCAAGGGTTTGCTGAGTTCGAGGTGTTGTAAGTCATTATATTTCGAAGCCAAGGTGATCGTATCCGTCAAGCGCTCCGATTACTGAGGAATCGTATAACGTGGAGGTATGAACACGAGGAACATTAGGGAAGAGGAATTTGAGAGATTATGGGCGGATCTGGAGAGGGAGGTAGACGTGTTAGTACCGATCGTACACGTGGCTCTTCACGACGGTGACTCGGATACGAAGACTGAATTGCTTACCCAGCTGGATAGGGTGTTGGGGAGAGTATATAGTGTAGGGTGTATATTGAGGGATAGTAGGAATCGTAGGGTAAGAGTTTTGAGAAGGAGGTTAGAAACGGATGGCTAATCCACCCCACTGCCCGAATACGCAGCAAGTGTCGTTTGTGAATCCGTCGCCCAATGGGGTGGCCGTTGGAGGTAATAGCTATGGAAGCGTCACTTGCTACATTTGCGGCAAAACCGGGCACTACTCTAGAAACTGCTGGCAAGCATCAGGGAGGCTGCCCTCTCAGCTTCCCTCCCAGCTTCCTTCTCAGCCTCCCGTTGATAACGAAACCGCTGAAATGAGGGATTTCTACAAGAGAGCTACTCAAAAGGAGAAGGAGGAGCGCGAAAGGAAAGCCAGGGAGGAGATGGAGAAAAGGAGATTGGAAGAGGACCAAAGAAGGGAATCTGAACGGATACGCGACGCCAAAGCAAGGGAGGCTAGATTAGAGGCGACGATTGCAAGGCTGCTTGCTCAACAAAATCGGACGAACTATGCTATTGCCGCAACTCCAACACCTGTGAGAAAGAAATCTCCCACGTCGAAGGCTAGGATGCTGCAGAAGATCCGAAGTTACATCGACGAATCAGAGGACGAAAGTGAAGAGGTGAGAGAAGAAGCCGGTAAGCTAGTGGACGCTATCGAGAGGAGGAAGAAGATCGGGAAGGCGAAGTCTCCGATTGTGGTGGAGGAGGAGAGATCGACAAGAGGTGGAAAGAGAGCACGTGAGAAGGATGCGGAAACTAATCAAGACCATGAGGACGATTGCTTGAAGACACCTAAGAAGGGACTATCGGCAGCATGTTCAATGGAGGGCATGCTAGAGAATGCATTAGAGGTGCACAAGCGGATGTCAGCGAAGAAAGTACCAGAGCTTCGGAAAATATGCAGCAAAGAGGGTATTAGATGGTCGAAGCGAGATGAAGTTATATGCGAATTAGTGAGGTGCAGGATGAAGTTAGCTTACGAGGGCTTTGTCGAGAGGAAGGAGGACATCTCTCCGCTGAACGAGAAGTGAGATTTGCTAATTTGCGAGTGATTGGATGATATGGAGGAGCTCGAAAGATGTATGCTGTTACGAAGGGAGAAGATGGGTGAGCATGGGAGGTTGGTACATCATGAGCTTGAGACGCACGTGACGAGGCTGTTTCTGCTTTTGGCTGTGAGGGGTTCCTTTCCGTGGATGAAGAAGTGGTTGGGAGTCATGAATGAGGATGCTTCAGAGAGGGTAGATATGAGAGTCTCTGGTGTGTATATTGTTATCAGTCCATGGTGTAAACATATATACATCGGGTGTACTGTTAGAAGGGTCATTACGAGGTGGGTTGAACACGTTCGATGCGCGGTATCAGGGAATTTTGGTTATGCCAGGAAGCTACACGTGTGGCTAAAGAGGTTTGGCTGGGATTGGTATCTGGTTGTGTCGGTCGTGGTGGGAGTGGAGGACGTAGAGAAGGTAGAGATGACCCTGATAAAATGTTTCTCGCCGGCATTGAACAACATTGGTAAGGGGCAAACAGGTGGTAAGAAGAGGAGGAGGAAAGGGAAGAGGGAGAGAGGTAAGAGAGCTAGTAAATACGCTCAGGGTTCTGTGATTAGTTTTACATATAAAGACACTCGTACGTCTTCGCTCATCGAAACCTTGAAGAGCGTAGTGAAGGATGGAGGTAAGGGGAGGATTTCGTCATCAGGAGGTAAGATATGGTCGGACGGATGGTCTGCCGTCCGAACGAAAGTTGGAGAGTCGGTGATTGAGTATGATGGGAGTAGGCTCGGGATGAAAGGACTTTTGGAAAAAAATTGCTCTTATCAGGTGTTAAGTGTGAAGTTTTTTCCATCGACCATTATGCAAAGGAAGAATTTTCTGAAAAATATGTTGTCCCGCCCTTATCTCATAAGGAGCACGTATAGATTCTCTTCTGCAAAGATGATTGCTCTATACAGGACAGCTGGGTTGTTCTCTCAGAAGAAGACACACACCTCGGTAAAGCTGAGATTAGCCAGGGTGATCCGGAGGAAGTTTCAGGTTGACATTAGGAGGAGGCCCTTCGTGAAGATTCCCTTCTCACCGTTCGTAAGAACAAGCATCGTACGATTGATTGCTATTGAATCTCTGCATTTGCTCATTTCTGACAAAGCTATAAGTAACTATGTGGCTGGAAGGGTTAGGATTGTCATGATGAAGGGTCGTACGGTCGGTGAGGTCTTGGGTGAAGAAGGATGGACCGACTTGTACTTGCGTGTCTGTTGACTTACCACAGATCCAAGGGCATGTTTCGGTCAGATTGAATGATGTCGCAGGTGTACCTCCATTTCTATGCAATTCGAGGAATATCACGAAGGGGAAAGGGTATTTTCCGGAGGGGATAGAGAAAGGTATAATAGAGGCTATCAAGCCTTGGGCTAGTGGGAGGAAGATATGCATCGACAAGTCTCAGGTGGCGAGTGCATTTACCGAATCCGGGTGCAGGGTGTCGAGAATGTTGGAAGAACAGGTTGAAGAATGGTTTGCTCCTTTTCGAAATCTGGTTGTCGTGCCGATCGACAGAAATCCGGGCGGCACTCTGTTGATTTGTCCAGTGGTGTATTTTCATTCATATCGCTTGACATTTCAGTGGAATGGAAGTTTTGTGCCACAAGTGGAGCCAGGCGTGGAAATACTGAGGGTGACTAGAGAGGACTACAGACGTGAGGGATTGCAGAAGGTGGCAGAATGGGGGAAGGATAGTAGGATAGGTACTGCATATATTCTACCAAAAGACAAAGACTTGAGCCGTTGGAGACCTATATCGCCAGCTACGACTGATCCAGCTAGGCTGGCGAGCTCAAGAACAGGAAGAGCGGTACGCTACATGCTACTTTGTATCGAGAAGAGATCCCACTTCGACCTCAAATCGATGGGTGAGATGCAGGAGGTCCTGCTACAGCACCAGAAGTACTTGCAGAGGAGGTGTGATGCGGCACTGGCAAGGAGTTTCGACATCAAGGACATGTTCGCAAGGCTTACGCACGAGAGCGTGCTTGAAGCAGTTGAATGGATTATTAGTATCCATAAGGCCAGGGGGATGAGAGCAGTGAAGGTAAGTTGGAGGGGAAAGGACTGCAAAATGTCGAGGGATCTGAAGGTGGAGTGTGGGTTCGTCACTCTGGGTTTTCGTGTGATTAGGGCGATGGTGGCCTATGATCTATCACATGCCTTTGTCAAGTGCGGTACCCAGGTGTAAAGGCAGATTTCAGGCATTCCCATGAGCAGGAATTCGAGCCCTGCCCTAGCTTGCCTTGTGTGTGCGAAGGCTGAGTTTGGATTCCTTGCATCACTAGGAGCAAATCGAGTGCTGGTCAGGGGAGTTCGTATGATAGATGACATTGCAGTGTTGGTAGGAGTGCAGACCACACAGGATGGATCATGGGAGGAAACAAGATCAGTCATGGCGAGAGTTGAAGAGTGCTATGATAGTAATCTGAAGCTGGTAAGGAAAGACAGAGATTCCAATACGTTCGAGTTTCTGGGAGCTGTGATTCAGGTTGGCATATGCCCGATCAGCATAAAAATTATCCCTAAGACCAGGAACCAGTCGTCTCTGCTGCATGAAGGCAAGTTGAAGGTTCAATCTATGCAAGATTTCAATTCGTTTTCCTTCAAGAAGGTAAAAAGGGCAATGTTGACCGCTAATATGTTGAGGATCACTAGGCTTGCGACCAGTGAGGAGGATGCGTTGGCTGCTATATCTGCTTTGATCATGGAATCGAACCTCCGGGGTTATCCCCCGGAGGTCTCTCTCGGTTCTCTAGCAAGATTTGTTAGAGTAGCCGGAGGTAACTGGGGGGCTTCGCTCCTCAAGATTTACGCCGGCCTGCACGAGTACCTGGTATAGCTCAGTTAGGATAATGATTTTTCCAGTTTGTTTGTAGCGGAACGGCTCTTGGTTCGACAAGAAGTTTTTTACCCTTGAAAAACGGGGAGAAGATCACGTGAATGGTTTTTAGCACTGTTCTCTATTAAAGGGAATTAGAAATTAAAATTTTGAATTTAAAAATGGAACGGCTGGTACCGTTTTTGTGACCAATTTTTGAACCGGCCACGAGGCCGAAGGAGGTCAGATTAGGAACGCGCCTGCTTGTTGGTAGTCGAAGGGTACAAGACGAATGTGCTTCTGTCGTTGTTGAGGTAGTCGGGAGTCTACCGGTTCAGTCGGCTGTTGATACGGGTTATGTTGATAGAGCCTATACTTGGCTATGGTGGGAGGTAGGAACACTGGAAGGCGATGTCGATAGAGTAACCGGTACGGGTTGTATGAAGTCGGCTCCAAATTTTGAAACGCGGGAAGGTGGATTTATGTGGAATATGTACTAAGGAGGTAAGGCTGCTTTCCCTACTGTTTGTTGGTTCTGAGACGACAGTCGAAGAGTGGAGAAGGATGATGCATTCAGGGTACGGTATGCGCGACATGGGTAATCCCCAACTCGGGTGGATCGATGTGGATTGTAATCAAGAAAATATGGAAGGAGATGAAGAGATGGGGATAGGCTATACTCAAATGCTATGCCAAGGCTGGATGGCGGGAAGGACGAGGAGAAAAAAAAAAAAGAAAAAAGAAAGAAAAAAAAAATGATAGTGAGGTAGAGGGGATGTTCCCCTATCGACTTGAGTTTCGTTGGCAGCACTATGGGAACGAGCAAGTGTGGTAGTACGGTGGGTAGAGTATTTAAAGGAAGAGAGGGATGGCCTTAACCCTCTTACCAAGCTGAGTTGCTTGTTCATGATGCTTTTGTTCTCCCTGAAGAGTCTGTGGTGTGCGCCCACAACAAAACGCGTCGGAGATCGCGTGCAAGGGCTATGACGTTTATCTGATGTTTTTACAGTTGTATCTTGAAGCTTTTGTCTGGTATTTGATTATATTGTGTATGATCTTCCAGCATGAAGGAAAGTGTGGCCGCTGTTTCTCCTGATTACTCTCTCTCTCTCTCTCTCTCTCTCTCTCTCTCTCTCTCTCTCTCTCTCTCTCTCTCTCTCTCTCTCTCTCTCT